CCTTTCAACCATGGCATGAAATTTTTGAAAATACTGCAGTACCTGACTTTTATATTTCAACATATACACCCAAGTCTTACGTGAAGTATCATCAATAAAAGTAACAAAATATCTGCTACCACCTAATGACTCAACCTCAATGGGACCACATACGTCAGAATAAATTAATTCCAATCTATTTTCTTTTCTCTGAGAACTTTTACGAAAAGAAACTCTATGATGCTTACCAAACAAACAATAATCACATGAATCGAGAGACATATCTTTGGTCAAGGGAATGAGAGAGTGCCTTGCCAAAACCTGTAACCTTTTTTCACTCATGTGTGCCAGCCTCCTGTGCCACAAGTTTGCTGAAGCATCATTTTCAACGGTATTTACCTGGTTACCGTTCAATTGCATCAATATCTTATACATTGTGCAGCATAGTTTTCCCCTTGCAACTACCATAGATCCTTCGAGAAGCTTTCACTGTCCATTCTTTTTTCGGCTTTCATATCCCTCCTTATCAAGGACATTAATAGCAAGCAAGTTCATTCTCATATCTGGAATGTGTCTGACATCCCTCAAAGTCAACATGCAGCCTGTACTAGTTTGTACAACAATATCACCAATCCCAACAATCTGTGATACACTCTTGTTTCCCATCTTGGTACAACCAAAGTCTCTTACTTTGTAAGTTGTAAACAACTCTCTCTTAGGAACACAATGATATGCCGCTCCTGTGTCAACTATCCACTCAATGCCGGGATCACTAACATGATTACAATCACCATGTGTACAAATCAAAGTAACTGAATCACTATCTGAATTCACTGCTGCAACATTGCCATCATCTGAACTCTTGCCTTTCTCATATTTTCGCTCTTGCTTTAAGATTCTACAGTTTCGTTTTATATGACCCACCTTACCACAATGGAAACACTTCACTTTACCTCTAGACTTGGATCTATGTTTAGACTTACCACGGCCTTTTGAGTCCTGACCTCTGTCGATGTTTCTACCCCTGGTCTCTGTGACCAGAGCTTGATTCCCAGGGTCTACATCTTTTCGCCTCGCTTCTTCATTAAGCATACTGTCCTTTACCATCTCCAATGTCACCTTATAATCAGGAGCTGAATTAAGAATAGTCACAACTAGAGTATTCCAGCTGTCTGGCAATGAACCCAAAAGAAATAATGCCTTCATTTCATCATCCATCTTAAGTTCCATAGTAGTCATCCGATTAAATATATCTTGAAAATCACTCAAGTGCTCTGTAACAGATCGGCCATCCCTGTACTGTAAAGTTGCAATCTTCTTAACAAGCATAACTTTATTCATACCTGTTTTTCTCTCATACAATGCTGCCAATTTTTCCCAAACAATGTGAGCATCTGACTTATGCGCTACATGATGAAACACGCTGATATCAACCCATTTTTTTATTGTAGCCAGCGTCTTTCTACCTAGCTTCTTTCAGCTTTCATCTTTCATATCTGCTGGTTTAGCCAAATCACCCAATACTGGCTCATACAAATCTTTGCAGTATAGATGATCCTCCATCATAGGCTTCCAAATTGAATAATTTGATGCTGTCAATTTTAGCATGGAACCTGTATCACCCTCCATGATCTCAAACAGAATTTACTTCTATCCTGGGTTGCTTCTGTATCGATGTCTCAAAATAACTCTCGTTCTGATACCACTTGTTGCGCCTGAAGCAATAATCACAACAATACAGAAGCAATAGACAACAATCAATAATCAAATGCGCAGGAAAAATAAAGCACACCAAGATTTACGTGGAAAACCCTCCAGTGTAGAGGGAAAAACCACGGGCCACCAAAAAAATCTTCACTATCAAATAATAGTTATACAAAGTTCTTCTCTAGCTAAAACTAGAGCTAATAAACAACTAGAGAAACAATTGGAGAAATCTCACCAAATAAGTGACTCAACAAATACACCCTGGATTTGTTCCTAGAGAGCTTCAAACCCGATCTTCACCGTTCAGAATGTATAACTCTGAATCATAAACCTCCTGACAAGGTTCCAACTCAATCGGATCACGGATCGACTTCCGTTTAACCAACTCTCCCTTCTCCTTTTTCTCTCTCTGCTTTTCCTGGCTTTTCTTCTTTCTCTGCTTGGTTGTCGACACACACCTTAAACAACCCCACCTCTTTTTTATTAAGTAGCTAGGGCTCTGTGTAAAATAAAAGATCAAGGCCCATGGCCTTTACTTGGTCCAAAACCACTTACATGGAACTGGACCCCATTTTCCTAACACTCTTATCAAATTGTCATTAGTGCTTTAAATTAGTTAAAGCAAGCAAAGCTGCCCTTTGTACACTATATGTATTTTGTTTTTTGGCCAACCACTCTATCTACGCTACTTCAATTCCCTCACCAAATTTTCTTTTTTTTTTTTTATTAATCAAATTGAAAAGACCAAACTTTTTTTCTTGGTTCTGATTTCGTGATTTGCCCTAGTTTGCTTACGTAGTTGAACTCACGAGCTTGGGGTGTTCATGGTTTTATATTGGAAGACACTAATCGCACCCTCCCATGCACTGACTTTTTTCTTTTTTTGTGTGGGCTGATGCCATTAAAGTTTTAAAGGCTTTAATTTCTTCGGAATCAGTATAGCAGTCCTTTTTCTGCCACTGTATATGGTCATGGTGGGATCCAATGTCAGAATGTTGCATATATACCAGAAAATTAGTTCTCAAAGATAATGTATAATACTGTAATCTACGTAATTTTATAATTTGTATTTTATACACGTACAAATTTCATTCCATTCACATCTCAAATGGTTTAATTAGTTTAGCCCATCTCAAATGATAGAGATATAGGAAGATGAATCTGAGTAGGTGGATAAGGATCTTCAAGAAGTATAGCACCTGGTCTCAGGTACTGATATTAGTTTTGGACTTTTGGTACTCTGTCATTTACTTGTATCGCAGCTGCATCCATTTTTCCAGCAGGAAAAATGCCGAGGGAACTGGGAAGATCGTTAACCTTTCAGGACTTGTTTAGTTTATTGTCGTTGTTGACTAATTTTCATTGATTGTGATGATCCGGTTCTTCAAATGATAATAGCTTGGCACCAGTTTCCTTCTTCATTCAAAATCAAAGCTCCTTCTCTGATTCATTTTCTTCGTTTTCGGATAATTAAAACTTTGGTAACAAGGGACCAAATTAAAATCGAAGTACCCTATAACCTATATTTTCTTCCAGGTAATTCTTTTCCAAGGACAGGGTTCAAGGAACAGTATGAAGTAAGACAATGCCGAAGTGAACGAAAAGGCAATAATATCCGACTCGTCTTTCTTTATCAAGGCATGGAGCCATTTTCATCGAACAGGCAGCAGCACTTTAAGTGGTGGGTTAATTGCTAGAACTGTTTGATTCCCACACCACATCCACTAAGCCATTCCAAGCTTGTGAATTGTTGCCAACAAGAAGAACATTACTGCAACAGAATTTTTACCTAAAATTTAGATGTTAATTAGTACACTGGCAAGTAGCGACAGTCACCAACTCAAAATTTCAAGCTCCCTCACAATCTTACCAGTCACCATCATTTATCTACCGTATTCAAGGAGTCGCATGCAAAAAGAAAGCAGCAATGCTGTCGAGAGAAAGTGTCAAAATTGAAATGCCAAAAAAAAAAGAAAGTTTAGTTTCAATTTCAAAGGCATTAGCCAGTAGCTAGCGACATGGTGGTGGGGCCGTGGTGGCTGGCCTGTTGACTAGGAGACCTTTAACGTACTTCTACTTTATACGACTCGTACCATTTCTCAATTATTAACTGCTGAACATTCGCCATAAACTTTTTTTTATTGTTCAGCTGAAAGCAGTCAAATTGTTCAGGTACAAGGAAAATGTTGAGCCGCTTCCTTCTTGCTTTAGAAATTATGGGTTTGGCCACTTGAATGTAGCTCAATTCATATGGTTTTAGGGTTGTCTTGTTCTTTCTTATGAAGAAAATTTAGCCGATGAACTTAGCTTGATTAATGATTAATTGTTCTTTTGTAATATAGTTAATAGTATTCCCTCCCTTTGTTTAAGCTAATATTTTTTCAAATGATTTTAAAAATATATTTTTATATTAATATGATACATTTAAAATTTTGTTTTTAAATATTACTCATATATGAATTTTGATTTACAAAATTTTCCTTTCAAAGTGCTACTCACAAAGATTGAACTCTGCGTAATTAACCATAATTTCTTCTTGTATAATTCAAGTATTGGATGGAATTGTTTCAGCATCTTCATCGTTTTATATAGGATGTTTCCAAACTGATATGAAAGCATTTCAATTTCTATAATAATGGTTTTATTGTGTTCTCGATGGGTTTGTTTCCTATTAAACAGCCACCAAAACTGAAGATTTTCTTCCACTATCCATATTTGCGCCATCCGATAGCCACATTTCTGAAAATATGTCGGGGGAAAAATCTAATCATACCGAATAAAATGACTAGATATAGGCTATAAGCTATAGCAGACGCGAAACGATTTGAGTAGGTTGGCACACAGCTCAACCATAAAATAAAAATTATTGTACTAAGTGATTTCAAAAGGGCAACAGAGTTTTGCAGGTCTTTTCATAGCGATCTTCTCAGCAATCACTAAACCAGAGTAAAGAAAGTTCCAAAGTGCCGCATAATCGCAAAAAAGATCAACAAACTATGATGTTATATTCAATCCAACTGTTGAATCTAGTTGGGAAAGTTTCTGACAATTGGTTTGATCCTGTTGTCATATAATGCTGCCAACAGCATGATAGAAATTCGACTTACTACATATATATACTCGAATTCTATACGCAAATTTATTTAAAAAATTAAGCAAATGCAAACATCTTCGAACAATAGATAAGAATTAGGCTCATTGAGCTGCAAAATAGCACGTGCTGTTATGTAGCACAACGATTAAATTTGATTAGATTAAAATTCATCGTATGTCATATAAATTTTAAAAAACAGCCTGTCTGCAAAATTACCAAAAAAAAAAAAAAAAAACTGTATTATGAATCTTCACCCAAATCCTTGCAAAACGAAAAACTCTGCACCGAATGCACCGGAGTTTGCCCTTTTATGTATGCCTATTTATCTCTACGAGTCTTCACCACTTGCATGTGTTGATAAAATTTCATTTATTTTTTGTATGTATGGCTTGGTAAAGAGGGGATTACTTTGTTTCTTTATTGAAACAAATATTGAGGATAATCTCAAATGTTATCAGTTCCAGAGTGTAGAATCATAATGAGAATCCACCACTGCTGCTACCATTGGAAATTTGGAAGGATGGCATTTAGCCACAGGAGTAACCCACCAGCCATCACCATGAAAAATCTGTTTTTATACAGTGCTTTGTTGCTTATGAGCTGTATCATTACAAAGACAAAAGCTTCATGTTCAATCCTATTCCTGTTGAACCAGCTTTAATGCTTTATAGTTTTTAACCAGGCAGATTCATATATACCATTTAATTTTTTTCAGCACCGTTGCTTGGTTGCTGCTAATTTGTTCCCATGCTATGGTCAATACATTATAGCTAGCGAAAGAGACCATAAAATTCAGTAACCATATTATGGCAGAGAGAATTGACATTGAGAATTGAGAATGTCATATTAACTTTACCTTATATAGAACTTTTTGATATGGACAACGTCATAGAGCTGCATATTCAGCTGGACGATCAAAAGAATTTAGTTTTCCTAATACAGCATCAAATTTCAGCAGAAAAGATTTAAACACAATGGACACAAAAAAACAATATAAAAATGCGCAGCCTCAAACAAGAAAATGCCTTGATGATACGTAATAAAAGGTGACACTTTCATCTTATTGAGATTGAAAGAAATGGCTTTCAGGATCGTATAATCCTGCAATGAAGGCTATAAGAACCCACAACATGAGCAGGCCAATTATGGCAGTTCTCAATACCTGGTCACAGCTCACACTATGGTCAATATCATCCTGACAAATTACATTAGGTGTGGCTGTATCCTCACTGTTGCTAGCATCTTCATTTGCCTGTATCTTGTTGATCCAGTCCATGCGTGGATGCTTCACATCATGAATACCAATATTTGAACATTTTGAGCACCTGCAATCTCCACCAAGATATGATGGAAGTGTCTGAAGATTCTCCAAGAGAACCTTGCGGTACATTTCTCCTCCAATTTTTAACTTTTTCCGAGTAACTGGTTTCAAAACCTGAGGAAAGCCACAGGTCTAAATCCTCATCATATTTGAAGCCAAACAGTATAACAAAAAAAAACCTTGAAAGCAAAGAGGTAACACATTCATATTTTAGTCATAGAATTAAGATTAACCTGAATAAAAGTCTGAGCAATGACACGAACAACTGGAGGAAGCCGTATTACAAACAGACAGCCAAGACGGTTGGGGTAGTGGTCTTGCAAGAGGGAAGAACAAGATCTCATTATTTGTATGGGAATTCTTAAAGGAGATAATCCTTCACAGTCTACTAAAACTGTAACTTCAGGATTTTCTGGACTGACTAAATGCATAACTCCATGCTCTACTTGAGATACTGCAGCAACAGCCATTTTGCCTTTATCATAACATCATACAGAGAAGCAACTAAAATGAAAAATTGATAGAAAGAAAAAATTGAGGCCAAAACATTGATGAGTGACTTCAAGAATTAACCCATGGTGATGATGAAGATATGTTTTTTCTCAGTTTGAGTTTCTTATAACTAGTGAAAGACAATGATTTTAGATTCTGGCATACTTAGACCACAGAAAAATAAATTGAATTCGATAGATAAAATAACCGTTCAGAAAATAGATCCTATTTGGATAAAAAAATGTAAAATATTGTGAGTTAATGAAGAAGTCACTGCAAATCAGAAGGCAAGAAAGCACCGTTAAGGGAATGAAAAAGCATCCATCTTGGTGGGAGCTGGAAGTGGTGTAGGACATAGACAGCGATAATCATAACATTTCATTGATTTCTGTGCTGGATACTCTAGCTGACTATTTTGGATGGTAAAGAATTCTATAAAAGACACTTTTGCCAGAAACTCTACTTCCAACTCATATTAAACAAAGGAACTAAAGATTTAAAACGAATAACAGAGAAAGTTTCATTAAATTCCAAATGGTAGCAAAATGAAAAGCTAAACAGTGCTATCAGAGTGGCTATAGACATACCGACTGCCTGAGCAAAACGGGGTCTATCATGAAATGGCAAGCTTGAGCACGCTAGCCCAAGCCTTACAATAAGGCAAGGTCGATGCATGACATCATATCCATGCCAAAATACCATGTTCGCCCATGTCTCAAGCTCTTCTTGAGAAAGAATTCTATATGTCTCCCTCCATCTGATTGTCTTTTTAATTGATGATAGCAAAACTAAAAAGTCACCATTTGCAGCTGCATAAAATCTATGGAGATCTTCATCATTGATTCTGCATAAAACTACAATGTCATGGTCTGTTGCAAGAAAAAAAATACCAAGCAATTCAAAAATGAATATGCATATGCCAAAAGCATGAATAAATCCCAAAAAAGCAGAGTTGAAACTTCCAGAAGAATGCTGAAATTTGAGAGAGATGAAGAAACACTAGAGTTCATCATCAATTATTAGATTCTCCACACAGTGTACTTATTTATTTATTAAAGCCATGAATAAAAGCAGAGAGGCAACCAACCTGATGATGAGCTATTAACTCTAGCAATGAAAGAATTTTAAAACTCATTTCAAAATAGGGTGCTGGAATTCGAATGCATGAATGATAGTAAATTGATTGGCCAATTTCATTTTTCAGTAAGCCATTTAAAAAGGGAAAATTGTGCAATCATTTCTTCCTTAAAAAAGAATACCATATATGCATCCATGAACAGAAATCATTAAATCACCTCTCTGGTAAACTAATTCCTTGATTTTCCAGCTCCTTGTGGAGTTGATCCAACCAGCTTCCACACTCTGGAGTTTGGGAAGCTTCATTACTGACTCAGCAATTTACACAGAATTGTTGAAATGGTTAGTAAACATAGCTCATTATTGAAGACATCCTCAAGTTCCTAATAGAAAGAGTAACAGATATATTCATAGAAAGAGAAACAGATATATTAGTGTAGAGTTGTCATTTGCTAGTCAACTTGAACATCAAATCACTTGAAACATGCAAACCTAGAATATCTAAAAGAGAAGCCATGCCAAATCGTATTCAACCTAATTAGTAATGAATTCTGTTTGATGTGTTAGACTATATGCAAACCAGAAAGACTATCCTGTGAGCAGAAAAATCCATCAGAATTGCAGTGGATAGATCTGGATCAAATTTCAACTGATGGCTTTACTATTAATTCTTTATGGTTGGGAAATTTTCATGATTTATGTATAGGCCAGATAGAGCATCTCCTGATATAAAGTTCACTTTTACTTTCAGTCAAACCCAACTTCTCATCCTGCAGCATCCGTTTATTACAAAGTCAACCAAAGCTCTTGAAATCAGATAATGAGTAGACGTCTTTTTAAGATTAGTGAAGCTCCATTTCCACTCTTTGATTGCAGTGGGGCAAATACAGTTTCCAATCAAAATTTGACATGCCAAGATAAAAACATAAAAGGTCAAAAAGAAAAAAACCTATACACTTCAATGCATGATGTACCTTGCACCCAAGGCAGACGGCAAAGAAAGTTCCTCAGAATGTGATTCTGGATTCACTGGAGAACCACTACTAACATCCGAGGCTTGACCATTAAACTCTTCTTGATCAGAAAATGCTGTCGCGATAGAAAGAACCAACAGTGGCCTCGAAAACATCTGGAACAATTAAAAAAAATAACAATCGTCAATCATTTATTAAAAAAACGCTTCATCACAAATAATTCAATCTAGCAATTAACTAAAAATGCAATTTTCACAAAGTTGTTAAAAAGAACAAACCTGCATTCCTTTAACCAAACCCTTAAAGGGAGCCCATTTCTGAATACGATTAACGGGCGGATAGCATACAACTTGAAGAGCCTGAATACCGCGCCATAAAAAGGGACACTTAGCCTTTGAGAACCTTCTAACCGTTTCTAATGCAGCAACTTTGAGTAAAAACATTGCGACATGACCTGCTGCATCCTTAACATCTATACGATTCCTCAAGGCAGTTATTTGCCTGTAACTACTCCTAGGAAATGCTTTAGGACTCGAAACTACTAAATTTCCTTTATAACCCTTTTTCTCTTCCATGGAAAATAAGTAAACAAAACTGAGAAACCTATGAAAATATTTTCAATTCTCATTTAATAAAGGCAAGTAATTGGATCAAAATTAAAGGAGTAAGCTCTAGCTCTTCAAATCTCACTAAATTTTGTAGTAACAAAGATTCAACCTGCAAACAGATAGGATTTGAGATCAGGTATTTATCAAATAAATAGCCTAAAAAAGATTTTTAAAAGATCTTACCTGAAAATCGCCATGAATTTTATATATTTTTGGTAGCGTTGTAGCTAAGAAAATTCTAACAAACACTTTTTTCTGGTCTTTTTCGGCAAATTTGAACAAGACACTTTAATGTCGTGTTTTTTACTTATTTATTGTGGAAAAGTTACGCATTGCTATCGCCATCGCCCATCGGGGAAGGAAAATGAGAAGGGAGACGAGAAGTGAATCGTCGGGGGCTCAGCACGTGATTATTACAGTTGTATTGGAGGACACGTGTACGGTTACTATCTAAAGAAAATTTTGGTAGTCGAAAGGGGAGCGGTTCATTAGCTGACAAAGTTAGTAGCGGTAATAATTATATTATATACTATGATTATGATGAATGGATACTAATTATATTATATGTATAATAATAAATTACAAATATTTTAATTTTGACATAAATTTATATTCTCAATAACATTTACTTAAATCAAATTATAATAGCCATTTAACACAATGAAACACGTGTCCAAAAATATTTACTCTACTTTTTGTCAATTTTATTTTGGAGTAATTTATTTTCTATGGTAAATTAAAAGAATGAAAATGCATTAAAAACAAAGCTAGTTATTTGTTAGAACGGCGCTTGTACTTTGTCGCAGTCTTTTTTAAATAATTTTAATTAAAAATTAAAAGTAAAATTTATTATAATTAAATTATTCAAAAATATATTTATTATAAATAATTTATTGAAAAATATTGCAAAATACCATGTCAATTCTCGATTCAATTTAATAAAATTAATTTTTTTATTAATATCATTATATATTTCTTTAAAATTTAAAATTTTAATTTCTATTTTATATTCTATATTAACATGCCTAAAAGATATGAGAGGTTTTGTGAGTAAAACCAAATAAATCTTTCATTTTATATATTTTTATTTATTTTAATTATTTATCATATTTAATTTTTATCAGTTTTTTAACTTTAATTTTATTTATTTATTTATTTTATTCTTTGTGAATGTCATTAATTTTCAATTTAAAAGTTTTAAGACCTTCTTAATATTTTGGTAACGTTAGTAAATATTTACTAACCTTAAAATTTTATTTTAAAAAATTATTCATGAATTTATTTTATTATAATTTTGAAAATTTTTAAGACTTTTGGTGAATTCAATAAAATTCTTATCACTTTAAATTTTATTTTAGAAAATTGTCATTATTTCTAATAAAACTTTCATTATTGGAATTTAAATAATTAATTTATTTTATATTTTAATTTTTTATAACATGATTATTAAATTTATAATTTAATAAATTAATATAATATCAAAATAAAATAATTAATTAAAGAATAAAAATAAGTAAATATAATTCAAAGAAATTAAAAAAAAATTCATTGGTGGATAATTTGGAATTGATTTTGGACTTGGACTTGAAGTAATTTGGATTTAATTTATTGGCTGAAATGCCACTTGCTGTGAGCCCAAAAAGGAAAGCCCATTTACCCAATTATTATCTAAAAGTTATGCATCCAAGGATAAAATAGTAATTTTGTACGTAGCAAATAAAGGACTTTGGGATTCTTTTAATATAATATATATATATATATACTTATTGTTATTATAAATGATTTTTTATTTAATTTAAAAAATAAATATTAATGAAAGAAATTATATAATATTTTCTATAAGATTTTTAGCATTTTTCTAAAATCATATACTGATATGAGATGTAAATTTAGGGCCACGAAATTAGAGTTAGACCGAGTAAAAAACTCATAACTGTTGCTAGGTGTTACTTTTGAAGAAGCTAATACTTGCATGCAGTCAACGTGTAGCCAAATCGCTGATCACGTGTGAAAACTTTCGTATCATCTGAAAAAAGGGGAAAGGAATAAAAACCTGAATGAAAGCCAAAAAAAGGTCCTACTAAAACAGATTTTAGATCAAAGGAAGAAAAACAATGGCGTCTAATCTGAAGCCAGCGTTTGGCTACACGATTGTTTATGTGAAGGATGTAGCCAAATCCGTAGATTTCTACGCAAAAGCCTTTGGTTACAATGTTCGTCGCTTGGACGAGTCTCACAGGTATACACATACATACTTGAAAATATTTGCGTGTGATTGTGAATGTGCCAATGGCTTTGACTTATTTGGTTCATGAATGGGTTTTGAGGTAAATTACAGATGGGGAGAGCTGGAGAGTGGGCACACCACTATTGCCTTCACTCCACAACATCAACACGAGACCGATGACCTGACCGGTGTAGTCCAAGTCCCAAAATCTGATCGCCAACGACCCCCAATGGAACTCTGCTTGGTTTACTCAGACGTTGATGCTGCATTCAAGGTTTGTGACAATAACAATGTTATCATATTGTTCTTTTTCCCACTCATTTCAAATGAATTAATTTCAAACTGATCCAAAAAGGAGAATCTACTTATAATGAGATGATGAGTATATATATAATAATTGAGTCTTAAATGAATTACTTACAAGGAACAAATGTGATGAAATGTTATATGTATGTGTGTATAAACTTGATGTTTGCTTGAGCTTCAATTGTTGTTATGGTTGGAGGACAGCGGGCGGTGGAGAATGGAGCGGTGCCCGTGAGCCAGCCAGAGCACAGGCAGGATTGGGGACAGAAGGTGGGATATGTGCGTGACATTGATGGTATGACAGTGAGAATGGGAAGCTATGTTCACCCACCAAAACAAGATTGAATGGAACTAAAATTAAATAAAACATTTTTTGCAGAAGGGACGTTTGTAACCTTTGTTAAATCATAATTTATGCTCTAAGTTTGTTGTGTCTTGTACTGAGACCGGATATGTGAATTATATAGTATTGAGTTTAAATTATAGTTAGCATTACTATTATTATTATTATATAATCATAAAAATATTAACTTCAATTTTATATATATTTAATTGCTATTATTATTATTTCATATCTAATCTTACATTTTCCATTCTATTCTTCGGGGTTAATATGGGATAAAGTTGTTTTGTTCGGCTTGTCCTCTCACCGCTGCAGCTCATTGGAAAGAGCGGATCACGTTGCCAAATGAACTTGGGCATGAGAAACTGCGACTTATTTTTGTTCTCTGCTCTTTTGAATAGGGTTTCATCTGAATCATCAATTCCATCCAAAACTATTGGTTTCCTTTCTACGTTCTCTGGCAGAGGTATTTTTAGGGCAGAATAATGAATAAAACGGCTCAAAAAATAAAGAGAAAATAAAATGCTATTGTTTTGGAGATTGATCCAAATGTAGATGGTAAAACCTACTAATAAGATCAATCAAAGTATCTAAGAGAAGACAAATTATCCATCCAAAGAGGAGTCACCTGACAAATGACCTTTAAGATAAGAGGGACTCAACAAGAACGGTTGCCAACAAACACTAACCAAAACTCTTTTGAATACAGAAAAACGTTCCATGAGTGTTATTACAATTACTCCAACCACAAGAAAAGAAAAGTAAAAAAAAAAAAAAAAAGGTAAAGTGTGAGAACTTCGGATGGCATTCTACAAGGACACTGCGGTGGATCAAACCGCACCTCCCCACACAACAAATAAAGGCATTCCCTGGGTACACATGTAGAGCAGAAGCGCCAGCAACACATCATAACATTTCCTGTGACCGTCTGACGCAGCGGCTGACCTTCCTCTTGAATTCATCTCTCCTCTCTCTCCATTCCTTCTGCAAATATACACGAGAAATATTAATGGTTAGAAACACGAATAGAAAAGCAGGGTTTTGATTCTTAGGACCGTCAACCATAACAAGATACCAATGTCAACCAACAACTTCAAATTCATTATTCACATATGAAAAACTATGATAGAATAATTCTGATCACCATAGAGGTGGTAAGAGAGCACAATGGATTGATAATTGATACCAACTACTATAGGATTTAACTGAGGTAAAGAAACAAGTGCGCATTACAGCCCCATATAATCTGAATACTAATTTTAATCAGCGATCAACTAACACGAGCTGAATCCAATAAGCCTTTTTAAGGAAGTTTTGTAACACTAAGGCCCTTAATAGAAGGGTGGACACTATGTCAGTACATCAAACATTCAGTAGGAACATTGCATGCAACCGTAGAACTCAATTAGCCAAACTAAAAGTAGAAAGGCAACTAACGGAATAAGAAACCATAAAGCAAAAACCCTAAGTTGCACAAAAAAGGAACATATGAATCAAGACACAATCAAAAATCACTTACTGCAGCTTCAACATTCGCAGGAGATTCATCATTCGGGCTGGAAAGCATTGATATGATACTCAAAACAATACTTTCAACCTGCCATATGGTAAGAATTCACTTTTGTTAATGCAATTTCAGTGTCAGGGAAAAAAAAAAGGAAAAGAAAAAGGATAATCCTTATTTCTATTAATTCTTAATTGATAATACCTCCACCTTTTTAAAGATGAATCCATTCCTTAAGGTTTTTTTTTTCTTGAGTTATCACATTTATCCAATGCCAAATTAAATTTAAGTGTCTACCTGCCAATCACCTAATAAAGCAATGGAATCACAATTAATCTTCTACATAACTTCTTTTTTCTTTCAATTTTTTTTCTCTTTCACCCACATAGTGGGTGTGCAAATATCTAATTAAGTTTAAAAGCATGAATAATATTTAAAATTCTAATAGACTGCAAAGCCTTTAAAAAATCAGCTTTCTTTTCCTTAACCCTAATTTTAACTTTTTTTTTATTCTATTCTCTCCTTATATGTCTCCATCTTTCTACCTATCTCCTCTTGTCTTTTCTCCCGTTTCTCTATTTATTTCTAAAATTACAGAATGTGTACTCTTGTTCTCTGTTTAATCTTCTCCCATTTTCTCCCCATTCTTGTTTTGGAATTTTCATGTGTGGTTCCCCTTTGGTTTGAAAATCAGGACTGCCAATTTTTGGGATCCAGACCGTGTACCGAGGAATCCTGGACAGAAAACGTACCATGATCCTGATTGAAAGATCCAATTCAAGGTTCCAGGGGGTGGGAGAGAACCTGGTAACTATGTTCAAGATTAAGAGGTATTTTATGGTCATAAAATATTCTGATCACATTGGTTAATTTTATCCAACTCAATGATCCATGAAAGACATCCCCTTCAATCTTCATTTTAGTGTGAATAAATGATTTACTAGTGGCATAAAGATTCATATAAAATTTTGGTTTCTAATTACATGTATATCTCTTATGACTTGTAGGGAATATTATAGTTCTTCCCCATCTTCGTCATTGTCTGATAAAAGAAATTACTAGCTTGCAATCAAGTAGTTAAACTTTGAGTAAATTCATATCTATGGCACTACAGATGTTATTAGCACTTGAACAGCACAAACAAAGGACAATTAAAATATAATTGACACTTCATAAACATACTGTATGGACTGGCATCCACCGCTCACTTGCAAGCTCATAGCCGTTTGGATCATCACCCGGAGGATGAAGAATTGATATGCAAACACGCCCATCAGGATAAACTGCAATACACATAGAGACAGAATTAGTTCTTGCTTTACATAAAGGGGTGTAAGAATCAGAACAAACAAAGATATACCATTAGGATGCCAAATCTCTGAAGTAAATTTCACTGTTGGAGGGCTGTTTGGATAATTTGGTGGAAAGCTCATGATAGCATTGAAAAATCCCCCTTCACTGAAATTATAATACGAATGTTAAAGAGAAATAATGAGTAAAAATAATAAAAATTTTGAAGATATATCCCCCCCTAAAAACAATTCCTGTAGAACTCAATTCAATCTTCAAGATTACTCAAGTAGAGTAATAGTAAATGGAGAATAAGCAACAGGAAGGTAAGACACGTTACAATAACATAACCTACAAAGCAGAGGAACTTATCCAAGCAGCAAACAAACAGCATTGTTGAAACGTTGATGCCAATTGAACAAATTCCAAAAGAATAAGAACAACAATTTGTGCTGCTCAGAACCAACAAACCTCCAAATAGAAGCTAAGAAGCTACCATTTATCATGCTCGATTGAACCAATTCTACATAACCCTGTTTTAATGGTGAAACTCAATGGCAGAAGTTATCAATAACCCCTAACCAAAGTCATTCCCTATATATGCTGAAAACAAACAATGTGTTTTCTTACAATTGCTGTGCAACCAATTCAAGGAAACTAACAGAATGGCAATTGGCAACACCAAGACTAGGTAAAACTCAAAATCAAATATTACAAACATCGCAATCACCTAAAACTCAATCAAGCTAATCTAATTTAGAACCCAAGATCTCATTCGAATTCAATCGAAGACCTTAAAATCAACTCGGGCATCATTCATAATTCAGCTAAATCAATCTAATTTCAAAACCCAGAGTCCTATGAAGCATCAATCATAACCTCAGTTCCTGATCCAATGTCATCAAACAAAACCCAAATCAAAGAATCTATAAGAAACAATTAATTTCAATGAAACAAACTTTACAAAAAAAGAAAAAAAAAGACACTTACTAAAGAGTATCAGGTGGTCCAATGATTGTAACACTCCATTCAAAGATATTGTTCTCATCAACCAATCCGGCTGAGAACCCATCAACCGGATTCTTACAAAGATCTGCAAAACCGATCAATCAAAACCCGGTTCAAAATCGAGCCAAAACCCCCAAAAAAATTCATATTCGGAATCATTAAAATTGAAATCGATCAAATAAAAAAAATACCCTTGAGCTGTTTTTGAAGGAGGAGGCTGGCTTGAGATGACATATGAACACGAAATAATACAGAAAAGAATGGGAGAGAGCTGAAAAAAGCTCTGGGATTGGGAGAGATACGAAAATTAAGAGAAAATTAAAAGCCGACACTTTGCTTCAATTTATGGATAGAGAGAGAGAGAGCTAGGTTTACGTACGGTAGGATTTGTTTATACTTGGATCTTTAAGCGAATTACGAGTTGCCACGTCAGAAAGCTTGGTCTTGAGTCGGCGTAAAAGATATGATTCTGGTCTTTTCCCTTCATAACGCTGATTAAACGGTTGTGATTTCAGTTTTCTTTGTGGGTTCCACTGGCCAGGCAAAGGTAAATTTACGCGCAGTTACAGTGGTTAATCAAAGTGAAGAAAATATTAGAATCTGTGATAATTATGTGTTTTTTTTTTTAATTATTATTATACTGAAAAGATGAAAATTGAATCCGATTCTTCAATGGAATCATTTATCATTTAGTCAAATACAAAACACATTCTTATAGTTTTATTATTAAGTTTTTTTTTTTTTTTTCATTTTTACTGGAGAAGGTTAATCTCATTAGTAAAAAGAGCAGTTATTTTTTTCAACCAAATCTGATTTATTTGAAAATTCTTCAAATTTAAATATGCATCAAATTAATGTAAAAAATGTGCAATTAAAATGGATAAAAAAAGAAATTAGGTGAATATAAAATTTTTCATACACTTAATATATATTAAAAAATATTTTTATTAGTGTAAATGAATGTTTCCTCTTCTATATTAAATATTTTTTTTCCTTTTTTATGTTTTTATCACGCAAAAGAAGAGAAAAAAATAAAGTGAATGTGAAAAGGTTTAATCGGGTCCATAACATTTCATCCAATTAAAATATATATTATAGATATTGACATTTAAACAAATAGGAAATTGAAGCATTTTAAAAAGTATTCATGGGTCAAAAATGGATCAAACTTAAATATAATATTAATATTTTACGTGTTTGTCAAAATCAAATCAAATCCAATACAATAATCAGGCTTCAGCTTTTACTTAGGTTCATCCATATTACCGAAAGTTAAATTAATAAAAACATGTTTTTTTATTTAATCTTGAATCTTTTATATTTATTAAGTGTTAATATCATAAAATATGGATAATTTAACATAATTTTTAATATTTACACTATAATATCATCTAAAAACTATATAATATATAAATATATGATTTAGATTAAATAAGATTTGAGTTGGACGTTGAAACTAATATCTCACTTATATTTTAAATTAACCTCTTTTTTTTTTTCCAAATTTTTTAATGAGTTTAATAATTTTTTTTTAAATTTGAGTAAATTTGAATAAAATTTTGAATTTAAACATATAACTTGAACTTTACACATTTATTTTCAATGTATATATGTAATATCATGCACATGAAATTTTATAAGTAGTCATAGTAGTTGAAAATCTCAAACAATGCAAACACTTTGTTACCTTTTTTCTAAGACTTGAATTAAGTTTAACCAACAATCACTATTTTATTTTTAGTGGTGTTTTCTGCCAAGGAACCATGTTTTTTGTGCACAGACCATTTAATTATCATCAATTGTATTAGATTTTTAATCTTAATTACCATAATCTAATATCCGTTAATATGAAATAAAAAAAAAAGTTGGATCTAAATTGAACTTCTATATAATCAAGTCAAACGATCAATCCAATTTGATTACCAAATTCTTGGTACAACGGTCAAATGAATTTTCTTTTGGGTTGATTTGGTCTTTTTATTTTTTTTATAACACAGTGTTGAGGAATCGTAAGAAGCAGCTCTCTCTTTTTTTATGTTTGGACGGTGGCATTTTTTTTAAATTATAATAATACTTTATTCGTCTCAAAATTATTGTCTCAATAATTTGTTGATCAAATTAACTCAATTTTGACTATTATTTTTAATAAAATAATATAATTAACAAATTTTAAAATAAAATTTATAAATTTTTTGAGTTTCAATTTTTTTAAAACATATATTTTTAAAATTTTTAATTTAATATAATATGTTCATCCAACAAAGATTGTGAAATTTAAAAAGCTGCGTAATTTTCATATAATATTATATATATTTATTTATTTAGCGCCGAATGAGTGGCGAGAACAATGGGCAAAAGTCCATGGGTGAAGCATCGATCCGATGGTTGAAGCTTATCTCACGATGCTCTTTTTCTCTCTTATTTGCACTACACTGGAAAGAATCTCACGTAGTTGTAAATTATTGTGAAGAAACGGATTAAATCAACAAAAGAAAGAAACAAGACAGATGATTCTCGATACGTGAGTTAAAGATTTGTTGCGTGGACTTGGAGATTTTAATTAACCGAACCAGGTACGATCAAAACGGAAGCTTAATAGTAGCAGCCACTTGGCCCTTGCCCCTCTTTTTTCAGCTCATCAAACTAATGTTAACCCAGCACCTCCAAACAACTTTTGTTCTGTTGTGGAGCTTGGGGGAGGGACACCATTATTATTATATTTTTTTCATAGAAGAATTCAATCTAACGATAAAAAAATAAAGTTTCAAATATTAAATTTAAAATTCAAACTTGCAATTAGATTTTTTTTTAAATATCAATTGAGTTAAAATTAAATTTATCTTATATATATACATGAGTGATTAATTAAATTATATTAATGAAAATTTTATTAGTTTCATATTATTTTATAATTTTTGTAAAAAAATATATTTAAAAAAATCAACAGTTTGGTTTACTGAAATCTTTGAGTCAATATGATATCATATGATCCGGAACATTCTATTTCATAATATAATTTAACGGTTGAAATGTTTATTAAAAATATAATTATGTATTTTAATAAATTTAAATTTGACATATATGATTACATTAATAAAAACATAAAATTCATCGGTTGTATTAATAACATATAAATGAATTATTCTATTTGACCCACTATTTTTGTTTTAAATATTTATACTCTCTAATATGATATATTAAAAATAAAACTCATTTTTTGTTGTTTGTGTTTAAATCCGTTATAAAATTATAAAAAAATAATTTTTTATGAATTTATTAGATTTAATATAAATAAATTTATTTAAATCTACTAAAAATATATATTAAATGAAATTTAAAAATCTCTTGCTACTAAATAAAAAATAATATATAATTAATGAATAAATTAAAAATTTTGAGATAGATTAAAGAAAGTTGTGAGTGGATCCTTTTGTGTGTGTATACATTCAATCGACAATTGTAACTAAGGTTCAAATTGGATGAATATTAAGATTTATTATAGTGAAATTAAAAAGAATAATAAAAAATATTGTAATTATAATAAAAATTTATAATAAAAATTTTATTTTGATTTGACATAAAATTTAATTGATGTTACAATAAATTTAATCACATTATATTGAAAATATGATGAAATTCAAACGAAAATTAAAACTGGATAACTGTGGTTGGAATTAGTACATTAATTTCAAGTTGTAATCCATGAAACGAAAGAGAGAGAGTGCCCAAAGCAAAAAGTCATGACAGTGGCGCTGGCCGGTATGAAAGGAAACACTTCACGTGAAGGAGCTTTAACACAGGCATGAAAGAGAAGAAAGGAATTTTGAAAAAAGAGCCCAAAAAAAAGTCTTATCAAATGCATGGTGCACCATTTTTCTTGGTACTCCTTGATCGGTTTCCATTGTCTCCGTAGAGATTCGAGTCCCTCCCGTAAAAAAAAACAAAAAACAGTATAGCCAAACCACACTACTCTCCAATATTTATGTGGCTATCCATCATCTTGGACAATTTTTACATGATGGAACTCAGTTTTTGTTTTGTCTTTTTCAGGACAATGCTTTTAAGGCATCAAGAAGATTTAGGGAAGATGAGAGAGAGAAAATAGAGAGGGAAGGGAATATGCCATTGTTTTGACTTGATGCTAAGCTCCAGATTTGAAAAGTGCATTTCATCTTTACTTTTGAATGAAAATCAAAATCTACTCTCTTTTTTTTTATGTTCAAAAGAAAAGGAAAGAAAAATGAAAAACAACACGCGTTTCATTTCATTTAAACAGATTCTCAACAATTACAGTTCAACACCATTAATTCTTCAACCCCAACTTACAAACATACACCAGAATATAACATAATACTAGAAATTAACATAACTGAAGTTCCTCATCTTAAGTTGTTTGCTTAAAATCTGTCTCAAGAACTCAGCTGGAACAAGAAAGTAGGTCAAAGTTTATTGTCTTCACTAGTGGCAGAAGATAACCTTAAGCTCACGTGGGGAAGAACAGTCGTGCATGAGCGAAGGCCTATCATAGGCATATGTAAACGTGGCAGGACAAGCGTGTTTGAAAAAGTCCGAATAACTAGAAGCCCTACACGTTTGAGGACTGTTGTAATGGTTCCTACAACAAAGCTCGTCAGTGCCGAAGGCTTGGCATCCACTCTTACAACCCACAACTGGACCATGACCCGGCGGCGACCTAAGCTGTAACTTGTCGGGACATGTGGCTAGCAGATTAACCCTGCAGCCAACGACAGGGCAAAGGCCTTTGCCTTCGTGTGGGGTCACAGTCATGGGGAGGTTAAAACCATCTACAAGGCTGACTTCGTAGGAAGAGAGGTCTTTGTGGCCACCATGGTGGAGGCTGAACTGTGCCAGCGTGACGGGGGTGGCGCCACCGAGACCATTGCACTCTATGCGGTGGCCACAATCTCCCGTGGCACAGTAGAAATGGCCATTGGAGTGAGTGCATCCGGTTCGAGCCCAGATACGACCAGACCAGTGGACGGTGGGTGCAGGGAAGGAACGGTGAGTCAGGGTTTCGAGGGCGAAGCCGCCTCGTTCAAGGACAGGGTGGCCAGCGTTGGGTTGGATAGCAGGGTAAATAGTGAAAGGGCAGTTGTTAACAAGTGTTAAGAAGAGACCAGGCTGAGTAGCTTTAGCAAAGGTGCATAAGAGATAAAGGATAGCAAAAAAGAACAAAGAAAAATACAAAGGAGAAGCCATTTTTTGAGTGAGGGAAGAGATGGGATTCCGCCGCTTCTGGTTTGGTTCTTATAGAAGTGAAGAAGACTAGTATAATTAAAGAAAGACTGAAATACCCTTTCTCTCTTTCTGCCCGTCAATTAGTTTTTGGGTGAAGATCACTTTTTCGGTGTTTTCAGTGGGTGTCAGGCTTTTTAACCTTTTCTTTTTAATGATTGCCAGTTGCAGAGGACTGAAACCTGCAAAAATGGTCAGACACCAGAGGATAGACTTGAGACTTTTTTGTAGGAGCCCAAACCTAGCTGGCAGCATGGTTAGCTCTTTCAGCGTCGTATGAATGGTTTAAAATAATTAGAAGCTTAATCAATGTAATCATAAGTGACTAGGATTTATGAGGATTTTGTTTTGTTATATTTTATTTAGGTTGATACTTTAAAATAATATGATGATATGATAAAAGTATAATTTAAAAATATAATATAAATATAATATAATTTAAAATAATAATAATTATTATTATATATAAATTTAATAAAATAAAAAATTATATTTTATATTTTTATATCGATATAAATTATAATATATAATTTTTATATAAAATATAATATAAATATACAAATCGTAATTATTATAAGTTATTTTTTAGATTAAGTTAAGCCTATTAAAGCATTTTTCGTTTTAAGATCTTGACAATTGAGATAATCATAAATCTTGCCTTGGATGAAAAAGAAGAAACAAATTTAACGGTTGCAAAATGATGACTATGATTTGGGTTTGCCGAAAGCCAGTAATCAAAATCATCCAAAAAGAAAAAGAATGAAAAAGCTCATCCAAACAGTCCAAGACCCACCAAGTCAAAAGAGTTACGTTTAAGGTTCAAGAATACATATAATGTGAAATGGGAAGAGAGAGGAGATCAGTATTATTAGCATTGAGTTCGAGGTGGGACGGACAAGTTAAAGGCAGAAAAACATTGGCAAAAACATGCTAAAATGATAAGCTTTAAGGCAATTGACATCGTGTACGAGATTCGTGTCGGTTTGTTTGCATAACAGTATCTTTCAATTGAAGGAAAGAGAATGAAAGGAAAAGAAAATTAAGCAAATGGAAGTAAATGAAATAAAAAATGTTTTTTAATTTGAATAAATTTTTAATTAAAAAAATGAGGAAATCAAATAATTTTTAATTTTTTTAATACTTCAATTTGGAGAAAAAATTAGTGAAAAAAAGTTATTTTTTTTTATAAAAAGATTATTATATCTATATTTTTATTAATGTAAAAAACTTAATCAAAATAATTTAAGTAAATCATAATTATTTTGTAAATTTTTTAAAGTTATTTCTTTTTTCAAATAAATTTCACATATCTCTTCAAATATAAAATTTTTTATAATTTTTTGATGATTTGATTTTGATGAATGGTTAAATATTTTATGGATTTATGAGATGTTAGATTAATTTAAAATTTTTTATTATAATAATTAATATATGTGAGTAATTAATAAATATTATAATTATTATTAATAGTATGTAATACTTTTATGCGATTGTATTTTTTAGATGTAATAGCTTTTTTATGAATATATTACTAAAGTGATAATGTGCTAAAATTTTAATAATAACAAAAAAATTCATCAATGTATGTTTATAAAATATATTTTTATTTTTTTTGATTAAAAATTATTGATATAACAGTAATTATGAGATTAAATAAGATAATAAATATATCATAGTTTAAAAATATTTTAAAATTATAAGTAATAACATATTATAATTAAAAAAATTATTATAATGAATAATTTTTTTATTTTTTATTTAAATAAAAATTATTAAAATTTTGTTATTAATTTTAATTATTCAAATAAAAATTATATATATTATTTTTAAATTTTTTATTAATATTTATCCAAACATCACTTAAAAAATATATTGTCAAAACAAAACATGGTTTGAATTTCGTTTTGGATTTCTCCAGTTTAATTGTCGCGTTTTGATGCACGTTGCACGGAGCTCAACTCTAAAACCTTTTTTTTTTTCCCTCTGGGGCACAGATAAAGATAAAGGTCACAAACAGTCTGACTCAGATAGGGAAAGAGAGATTTCAAGCGGGCCAACCGCTAACTCAAGCCGAAACTCCAAAACTACAGGCTACATTGAACATCTTAGAGCAATTTTTGGATTGAATTGTATAGAAATAATAGCAATAAACAAAAAATTATAAAGAAGGATTAGTCCAAGCTATTTCAAATATAAATAATACTTTTTTTGTGAGGAAAGGTGAAAGGAATAAACATTTAATGATAATTACAATAAGTACTAAGAAATAAGGCTTGATTAGCTTGTTCCATTGATTCATTGTGTTTTTTAAGTTATGCAAAATTGCCGTGTTAGAATTATCAATGGAGATTATTATTATTATTATTTTTTGAAGTAACGGAGAAGTGTTACATACACAAAAATGGTACAAATATATTTTCTCAAATTTGATTTTTTTTTCAATTTACTCTATATTATCCTATGTGTATGAAATTTATATAATTATTATATGTATATAATATTTTCTTTATCAAGTTAGAAAAAAAAAAAAAAAAAGCCCATTAATACTTGCTAGATTTGAAACTTGAAAGTAGCTTTTCTTGCGGATCACAAACTTGCCTGCCCAATGATTAGATTACAGGCCTATTTGGACCTAAATAGCAAGAGGTTACCATGGGCTAATAAAATTTGCACTGTTTTCTGATCCTGAAGCATCCGTAATCATTTGCGCTTGTCCACTTTTTTTTTTTTTAATTTTACTGCCCCCTTAACCTCCAACTCATATTTACTTAATTCATCTAAAAGAAATATTACACACTGAAATCCTTTTGAATTTATAATTTCCAAAAATCTAACCAACATTTAGGATTCTGAACTAATAACCAATTCGAACTTTTTTATTTATTATTTTGAGAGGTAAATCATTTTAACACGATTATCCAATAATGCGAGACATTAGTAAAGATAATCATATCACGGATTGAATAGACCATAAATATTTTTTGTCCATAACGCCCAAACCTGCACATTTAAACTAATTTAAATTTGAAGAGTTGGGTGCCAAAAAGAAACTTGCAAAGTGGTTTTGCAGATTAATCTGATTATTTTTCTGATTAATGCATCCAAATCAAGTGTCCATCATATACAATTTTGACTTTTAATGAAGAAATTCATAATAAACCATACAAATCGATCAGTTACCAGCTTTCATCACCAAAACTTTATTATATGTTTCAGGTCATAGAAAGTCATCTTTCTATTTTATACACGAAGAATTAAGTCTTGACTCTTTTTCTTTCAAATAAAAAGAAAAAAAAAATCAAGTACTTGGGATCCAGACATAGAATTCGCTGGATATATATATGAAAAATTAATGTTCATACGTGGGTGCAGGAAAAATTAAGTTTCCAAAATGGAAGCATCATGCGAGAATGCATGAAACTCACCTACTTGAGTGCAAACATAAGCGCCTGACCAAAGGCATTTGAAGTTTAGGCACAGCAACTCAATCCACTAGCATTTGCAGCCATCGGGCATCTCATGCGGAAGAAAATTATGCTGCCTTTGATAACTAGGAAGAGAAATTTGAACACAGTAACTTCATTCCAACCAGACCCTTTCTTCTTTTCAACTGGTAACATGAATCAATAACAAAAGGCTGCTGAGCTTACCTGCTTCGCTAAGTCTTCAAAAATTTTCAGTGCACAATGGAGGGTGTAAAATAGCTCAAATAGTGACATACAGCAACTCAGGAGCTGAATTTGCACTGGCGGGCCCCGATACCCGTGCTGACAGCAAGGCTCGAAGCACTCAACAAAAATTAACACTATTATGTTCTAATAAATATAGATTTATCATGGATGCAATGATCACTGAGAAATGATAACATAGAAGAAGTCAATCCACAATAACGAGAAACACAGATTTCTCAATCTTATCAATCCAGCAGTATATAATGGCATACGATTCTTCCCCAACACCTTTAACAAACATTCCTACATCTATTTTCAAGTTTTGCTATGATTACAGAAAATGTATCGGATAAAAATGCTCCTTCATGCTTGTAAGAGTCCCCCAACACACCAGAGCATGCAGGACATGCCACCACCACCTGCATAAGATGAGAGGCCAAGTTCTAATCTACCTCCTACTAGCATGGCTCCTGCTTGCAGTTTCTCAGCCCCAGGGTCCCCAAATCAATGTTCAAGCTATTCAATCAGGCAATCTTCTCTCTCTCTCTTGCTTACGACTGAATGCATTTCATACTACTAAATGGAGCAGGCTTCACATATTGCTGTAGGTTCTAATGCATTTATTTTTTTTCCATTTGTGTCAACAGTTCATTTCCAGCTCAGACCCAGAAGCTCCATACCAAGGTCACATACTAGAAATGCATTACCTACCTCAGTAAGCACTGAGTAGTCACTTTGGCTTTAAAACTATTGTATTTATCTTAGCTAGAATAAAAATCTATTGACTAAAAACTCCTTGCATCTGTAAAATGATGAAAAAACAGGTTGAAATGACGAAGATTCATAAATTCTCATCTGGACCCAACTGAGCAGGAAATCACTGCCCACCATCTAGGCAATAAAACAGCAGATACAACAGCCAGCATATATAGGAGAGAGAATGAGGTCACACGATTTGGATAGGAGGTCAGATGTCACAATGTAGGCTTTTGTACTAGTACAAAACTGAATTTTACTTTTAAATTCATGTCAGAAAGCAAGTACTGGTGTACTATTTTATGCTCCTATTCTCCATTAACGTTTTAAATGAGTTAGCTCTGGCTTACACACCAGTAAAGGGTAGTTTATTCTGGGATGGTATGTTTGGTTTTCTTAAGTCAGAAGGTATTCTATTTCCTAGTAACAACGTTCGGCAAAACAATGCCTCTATTCATTGCGGCTGAGACAAAACCCCAAATACTATGATAGAATATCCCATGTTTGCAGAAAGAAGCACTCGGTACTCTCTTTCACACATGAAAGGATATGCAGGCTTAACTTGAAACTTGAATGTGACCGAAAGTAAAAATGTCAACAAACGTCTCCTCAAGTGGCTGAAACAATTTAAATACAGAATTGATGAATATTCATGTGCGAGGAAATAAATTATAAACTCAAAATATTCAGAAGTTCAAATCAGATCAAAGGAAGTAATGAAGGTGCAACTATTACCACTGCAAGTTTCCTACAAGGCTACAACTTGATTACAAATTTTTCCAGGATAGAGGCTTGAAATGCTTAACAGCTAGCTTAACATGCCACAAGATAAAAATGTGAGGTTATTGGTTACACAGATGAACCAAAATTTCTTAACCTGAGCAATGACTGAAGTATG